GCCTCGTCGAAACCGCCCCCCCCGCGTTGCCACGTATATTTGTTGATTCAAACTGCCTCCGTCGTTGCCTCGCCTCACCACCACCCTAAGAAGACTCCCCAGCTCCGTGCGATCAAAACTCGACTAGTGGGTGAGGCTGTCGCCGTCGTTTTCCCCGTCGTTAGTGTGGGTAAGCCGTTTGTTTCCATATTTGAATATTTTTACCCTTTTTTGCTTGATTGGATGTTATTTTGGGTTGATATCGTTGTTTTGCTGCTCGTGGAATGATCGATTGTCGTCACTGTCGCACACGCCGCCATGCACCAGTAGTGCACATGGTGCTTGTTCCGCTCCAAGAAAACCTGTTAGACTGGTCCAGTCGATCTGGACCGGACCGAACTGTGTCAACCCGAACCGGTCTGACCCTTTGACTTTGACCTGACCTGTCGAATTTGACCAGAGTTGGCCGTTGACTCTTACTTTGACAAAAAAGTCAAAATTTTTGAAAAGTCATATTTTATGTTTTTCGATGTCCTAAGTCTGAATCTGAAGTCCTTTTTCCAAATTCAAACCCGAAAGCCTCCAAATTGACTGTCAAACCTGAACATACATATGTACTTAAGTGTTTTAATTTCAAATAATTAAATTAAGACTTTAGACCGATTAGTTATTGTTATTTAAAGGTACTCGAGACTCTCTTGATCACTTTACAGCTCAACTCAACTCTTCTCGATCTACTAGACCTGGTGAGCTAGTAGTCACTCGTATGACCCATGAACCTTATGAATACACAGATTAGAATATTATTTCAATATTAACTCAGTTTACTATGAATTAGGTTCGAGCACTATTGCAGAGCGTGACGAGGTCGATGCTCAATAGATCTGTTGTTTGACCCTATTTTGCAAGATGTGTTCCCTATGTGCTACATGATTGTTTTATCTGCTTTGAAATATGTTTCACTGAAAATTATGATTTAATAATTTAATGGTTGATGGTTTATGGACTATGGCTGAATGATATATGTTATTTGGATATTTGCTTTCACTAGAAATATGATTATACCGAGTACGGATTATGGAATTTACTACTTATTATGTGAATTATTTTTTTGAGATACTTATTTGTGTAGGATACTAGAGTATAGATGTAATACCCCCAACCCTTATCCGACTCGTATACGAATATGAGGTGTTACATTGACTTTTCAAAACATTGACTTTTAAAAACTGGTCAATAATTTGAAAAATATATCATATCAAAGCAGTGAAACCCTTAAATAAAAGTAAATCGTAGAAAAGTTTATACTCAAATTGAAAAAAAAAACTTAATAATTTACATGAATATAATCGAGTATGTTTACTTCGATTTAAGCTTTCATTTACATGCCAACAAAATAACATATAACAAAAGAACATACATCTTAAATCGATTATGATCTAATCTTCTAGAGAGCTATGCTGTCTTGACTCGCCCTAATCTTGATCTCCTGACTTCTTTGAACTTACGTATGAAAATCACTCACACGCTGAGTCATTGACTTAGTGAGGCATATAAAACGTATAATAAAATATTACATCACTTAATCATATTCTAAACATTTTATACAATCATGTAAAGAAACTATAGAACACATCATATACAAAAGCATAAATGCATATATATACATATCATTATCATCATCAACATCATTATCATTGTCACTATTCAAAACAACTAAACCATTTAAAACATATAATCTTGTACTTAACCTTTGTAAAACATCATATAATACAGAAATCATAATACATTTCACAAAGTTAAACATATAAAATCACACAATGTTTATTCATGTTATCTCTTTTAATAGTCCATGGTACATTTCTAAGAACTTAAGGTATGCGAGTGCATTGAGGTTGTGCACTAATGATGTCACCACAGCTCATATAAATTGCATCGAAGTGCCACGTAGAATATGCACCGAAGTGTCATATAGAAATGTCCCGAAGTACCACATAGTATTGTCCAGAATGACCGCGTAGAAATGTCCCGAAGGACTACGTAGAATTGTCCTGAATGACCGCGTAGAACCCTCGACTCTTGGCATGCCAAAGCTCTCATATCACATACTTATGGGCTTTACCTTTTATACCATTTCACATAGCTTATATATTATTCTCATGTATTTACGTAAATCATGTAACACATAGGATAACATGTCGCACATAGCTCATGTATAACAGTTCATGTATCATATAGACATATAATTGCATAGATCCATGTTACATATTTTATATCACGTGTTCATGTAATCACATAAGATGACATGTCATACATATATCATGTAGAACAATGCATATAACATTTAGACATGGGCTTGTACTTATAGCTTATATTCATGTACAGATAGAAACAAAATCAAAACTGGGATTATATTCATGTAACATATACTCATATTAATTCATACACTTTCAAACATGGTTTAATTCAATATATTGGAAATAGACTCATCGCAAGTCTTATTTCCATAACACCATATATATATGGAAGTATGCACTCACCTTGGCCTCACTAGTCAAAGCAAAACACTAAGCACTCTTGATTGACCTTATAACTTTGAATCGTCTTGTACTTGCCTTCGATCGATATCTACACAATAATACGATTGGTATAAATATCAGAATTCGAATCACTATCAATCAATCATCCAAACTTAAGCTAAAAGAAACACTTGATTCACAAATTTATTCTGAATAGTATCGGTATCGGTACCCCAGACCCAATACCTATACTTCCTCACTATGGTATCGATACTATACTTCAGTATTGATACTCATTCTACATTCTGGAATTCGACTTCTAAAAATGGTACTGATACTTGTCCATTAGTATCGATACCCTTGGAATCGATGCTACTCCTTTGGTATCGATACTGATTAAAGCATTTCATACAATTTTACTTTATGTTATCGATACTGTTCTTCCAGTATCGATACCCAAACCCATATTTCACATATTTTGTTTTGAAGTATCGGTATTGTTCATCCAATACTGATACCCCTCACCCATAACTTACTCATTTTAACACGAAAAATTAACCAAAACTTACATAAATTTCCCACTTTACTCTCCTTTTAAGCCTTTAAACTCAACTACACTTATTCAAATCAACTTATATCACTTTAACATCTAAACCTCCAATATCCCACTAGAATACTTAAAACTAAAAATCATACCAATTAATCAACATGTCTTAAATCCATATCTAATACTTTAGATTTCTTATTCCAGCTTATGACAAGTCAAATATAACTCCCAAATCCAATTACTAACCCATTCTCAATGATTCAATTAAAAACCCTTTTTACATAATCACTCCTAACTTGTCCATCTTTTAATTTTTACTTATCTTTAAGCTTCCTTAACACTCCGAGAATCAAAGCCAATCATAAATTACAAGGAATAACCAATTTGAGCATTCCTTACCTTAGCTATGGAGACTCACTGTGAAGAGGAGGAAGAAAGATGAAGAAAATTTTGGATTTCCTTTAACCTCTTCTTTCCCTTCCACATAGATATATAATACCCAAGGAATGAATTTTAAATTCATTTCCTTGCTAAATGACCATTATGCACCTTCCTCTTTCTAACTTTGCTAATCAACCTACACTAATAATTTCAAATTAACTCTCTGAACTTTTAAATTTTATCTAAATTGACCATAAATTTTAAAATCTTACACTTTGGTCACTAGCTTGGTTTTTGGGATATTACAATGGAGATTCAACTCTGATCAAGCTGGTAAATCCTTACGAACCTAAGGCGACCATTGGGTAAGCTCTCAGGCCCCAAAATGTTCCCTTAGGTTGGCTCCTTATACCCAATGGGTATAAGGTAAGCCCTATGAATGCAGTTCTGGGGAACTGCATATGGTGTACGGGAGGAGGGTATACTATGAGTTTTAAAAACTTAAACTTCGGTATGATTTTTTATGATATTTTACTGAACTATTACTTGATTATTTCACCGTTATGATTTATTTGCACTGTTGGGACACATTGAGCCCTAGCTCACTTTTCAAACTGTTTTACCTCTTTCAGATACTTCTGGATAGGCACCTCGAATCAGGCACTTGGAGGATCGACACATTCTTGTAGAACTTTTTGTTGTAAAGTTTCCATATTCCAAACTGCTTTCAATTATAGTGACACGTGCCTTTATTTTGAAGTACTTATTTTTTATGGTGTTTACTGCTTTTGCTACTGATATTCGATTTACCGTGGTTCAGAATTATGTCATGTTTTGTTTTATTTAGTCACTTTTAGTTTTATATTTACGAGTTGGGTCTTTATCATTATTTATTAAATGTTATAAATGTTATTTTTAATATGATTTTAAATGATCGAATAACGTTTTGGAAAATGTTTTAAGAATTTTTAATTTAATCTGTTAGACTTAGTCGAAACGCATATGCTAAGTCTAGGAAGTTAAAAAAAAAACATTCCGAAACAACTTATTTTAAGTCAACAATTCACATTTAAAAAGTGATTATTGATCAAACCAAGAAACTAAACAAACAATGATTTTACGTTGAAAAAGTACGTTTGGAGAAGCATTCCTTAACGATTTTATTTCAAGGACTCAATTAAGTGTTTTAAAGACCCACTATAAAGACAACCCTCCTGATCTAATTTTCTTTATTTTCAACATGAAGGTTTAATCCTCTTGCCCTAAGAGAAGAACCTAACGCTACATTATGCTACATCTACTAATTATGATTTCTTTTAAAAAAAATATCTTCTAGCAACAATCCTAATTTTAAACTAAAATTTTCAAAATTCCTTTTCCACATAGTTTCTCAAAATCAAATACCAATTGACCTTAAAAGGATTTTATTTCCAGATAAAACCAGATTGTAATTTTAAGTAGAAAGAAAAGGAGTATAGAAATTAAGCTGATAATAAAGAAAGAGCAAATTTGTAACCCAAATCATACTAAATGAATCAATTAGATCCACAGTGAGAGAGATGTCCGATTTAAATTAAAGTGTACATTAAAAGTTAAACCCCATAAATAATTTATCACTACAAACTGGAGAGCTGCCAAACATGGTATTGGTCCTTGATTGAAAGACAACCCTGATAAATAAGCATATTCTGCTTCTTTGCACCAACAATGAGCTCAACATCAATCTGTGGAGACAAAGTACACCATTATAAGATGATTGCCCTCAGGTATTCCTTGAATTTGGAATCTAATATAATCAAGCAAAATAAACAAATCTTATGGGCTGACAAAACTATTATTTTGTCTCGAATGAGAGTTCCGGACAGAAAAGGACGCAAGATTTTATGTCAAGGGTGCAAACCTTTAAGAAGTATATTAAAAATTCAAGGAATGTGAAATTAGATCATCAAAAGAAAATACAAAGGAAATACGGATTTTAAATTTCCAGGGGTGCAACAGCCCCCTAGCATCCCCTCGATCCGTCCCTGGTACCGGATGCCCTTCACATCTTAAATTTTTCAAGTATTTGGAGAATCTTCAGAAGGTAAATTTCCCATAAACATGTCCAGATATAAGTTGGACACAAGTATCCTACACAGCTAATTCAAGAAAGAAAAAAGAAAGAGTTGGAACAACATGGGGAGAAAAGGCAGTGCATGGTTTTGAGTTTTGACTGCAAAATCTTAGCATTAAAGAAGGCTTGTCTGCATATTTTCCAAGAGGACAGTTGAGCAGAAAAGCCGGGCCATTTTTCATCGGTTAATTCCAAGGGTAACTGTTGGCATCATCACAAATGCCTTGATAATGAATACAGATTAGATTGTATGAAATTCATACAGGAGAAAAAATTCAAAATAACTAAGGTCCGTGTATATCATGGCAAGAAAAAGATACCTATTTGTCTTGCACCCATCCTCCTAATCGCTCCAGAGGGTCATAGTTTGTGAACAGCCGAAACTCGTTTCCAAGTTTGCTAGAGTGCTGTGGCCGAAAATTGCATGGACGCAAACCCAAAAGCTCTACAGCTCTATCTGTCTGCACTTCTCCTGCATGCCAACAAGTAAGAGTTATATTTTACTATTAAAAAAACCCACCTAAAACAATAATTGCCATCCGTGCTTGTAATTCTGCACTACGTTGAAGTTACACATGCAATGCAGTAAAGATAACTAGTGGCATCTATCCAAGCTATGTTGGAAGCAAAAACTTTTACCTGTAAGCAAAAGCAAGAAGGATTCTTCTGGGTGCGCAAGAAAAGAAATTGTTTGAGCAACTTTCTCTAAACACTCCTTGCTCTGCAACCATATATGTCATGCATATTATACTATCAGAAATTTCTCTAAACACAAACTCGTGTGAAATGCAGTAAACAGTTGTCCCCTTCTAGGTATATGCTCGGCAAGATAATGAAATATATATATATATAAACTGATGCTCTAACACTAAACGTCCTATGTTAGACCAAAATAGTGATTTACAACATACCATCTTGTGATAGAAATGTGTCTAAAGTTCACATTTCTCCATAAGGATCACAGACTTCCAAGACTTATACGTATCAGGGGAGGAATTTTACACCAAGGTGAAGTGGTAGAAATCACTGGTACAAACTAACTCAAAATCTTTGTTTTCGTTTTGATCACAAAGAAAATATCACATTAATATCACAAGATAAACAAGAGTAGACAACAGGGTTTTATATTGTGTATTAAAGAGATAAACAAGCAAGTTCATCCTCGTATTAAAAGACCTGGAATCAATTAAAAGAAACAGAATATTCAAGATATCAGTATAAAAACTACTAGGTCAATAAATATGTTTGTGTGTATTTAGTGTTAAATAGATAAGTGGATGAGGTGTTTCTCTAAGCAGTTACCTTTTGCTTATATGACAAGACAGACAAGGAAAATATCACAGCATAAAAGAGCTTCACTTCAGGTGACAATAAGTAGATTAAGAAATTGACAAAATGTATAGTCTTACCAGATAAGGAGGATCGGCAATTACAACCTGGTAATTATGCTTTAGCTCCGACAGGAAGTCTTCGGGTTGGTTGTAATCATAAAACGTAAAATCACTTCCATATTGATCAAAACGCTTATCATACTCCAAAAGTCGCACAGAGATAGTAGGATCAAGTTTCTGAAAATCATACAAAAGCAATGAACCACAAGGCATAAGTAATAACATCAACTAAAACCAAACTAATTGACGTCAGTCTTAATAGACCTAACCAAAACTACTTAGCATAGGTGGTTTAAGCAGTTAAGTTAGTAATAAATATATTAAAATCGCACCGAAAGACTTAACATATTCTAACCAATGATCATACTAAGCGAAATGGACAAAATCGAAGGTATGGGTTAAGTCCATCTTTTGCAACTGTTCCAAGTTCCCACCATACTGTTAGATTTTCAATTCAAGAGATACATTTTCCCAACTAATTCTAGAGATTTATCAATCTGGCGTTTAACTGTGAAACCCCTGTAAACCAATAACTGAGATAAACACTATAAACAGTTAACAAACTAGATTCAATCTATGCTATCAGTCTTTTCAAGACTATAAGTAAAACTACTATTAGAAAAAGAAGATTTGAAAAGATTACCTTAAGATAGGCATAGAGAGTAGGGCAAGCAATACAAGCTACTCTATAATGTGAGGCGGTGCAAAGAGAAACGACTTCTTGAGAAATGGTACGGGCTGTGTGTGGGTCGTACCAGAATTGGCTGAGCCTCCAATCTTCTGTTACCAAAGCCACTTCACTCTCTGGTTTGGTTTCTTCAGTTTCGTGGTTAGCAAGGGATTGACTTTGTTCTTCGAGGAACTCTTTGAGAGCTGCTATCGCCTGAGAGCTAAGAGCCGGTGGGTCATCCTCATCGGTGTCTTTAACGACGACGTTTTTAAGAGCTGGGAGCTCTTCTTCCATTTTTCAGCTGCGGGCGGCGTTGCTCAGGTTGGGGGCAGTGTAAAGAACGAAGTCACTCGTAGGGTTTATTTTATTTGGATATGTTTGATTTTGTTTTTTCCTTTTCTGTGTAGTTTTTGAGTAAACATGCTAGAGATTAAATTACCAATAATTTTGGGCCTTAATTTAGAAAAATTTAAATTACTCAAATTGATGAATATTATCTTATAATTTAAATTTAATTTAAAAAATTTTAAGCCGCATGAAATCAAGATTTTGAATTTATGTTTAAATTTAAATATAAATAATTGTAATATGATACTGTAGACACCGTTTTTATTCGGTTTAAAAAAAATATTATTTATTTATTTATTATTAATATTATTATTATTTTTATTATTATTTATTATTATCATTAATATTTTTTTTAAAAATTTTCAGGCCCATGTTTAACCCCATTATCTCCACCATTCCACGTGCAACCCCATTATCACCCCACGTCTCTTCAACAAAATGAAAGTGGGAAGGACTGCCTGTTTATTTAAATGAACTTTGGATTGGAAAGCAAGGGGAGATGCACAAACGAAAGGGGGTCACACTTACGGATCTTCATCGAAACGTCTCGAATTAACCAAACACCAACAGTCCATGCTATCTTTAATTTCTCATCAAGTTCCGAACCTCCAATCAACTTACGGAGCTCTAAAACAAAAGGAAACCGAAAGTAACCTTCGCCTCCGCTACTTTCATTGAAGCATATCCACAAGCATTTGGCAGCCATGGCAGACGACGGAACTAGATGATCGATGGTGGTGGTCGAGTCAGTAACCATGGTGAAAAAAAAAATAAAAAACAGGAGGGGGAAATGTTGGAGGAAGAGAAAGGAATCAGCCAGCAACAAGAGATCGATTTGGTCCACGAAAGTGTCAGCCTCATCGAGTACGTCACTTGGCTCAGGGATTTCCGAAGCATCCAGCTTGTTAGTGCAATGCAATTATGCAATGTCCTGGCAACTTCTTTTTTTGGGTCGTGGGGACCTTTTGATCAAGGGCATGTTGTTTTACTTTCAAATTCAGCTGTGTGGGTATTGTTGTTTCATGTTTTTATCGATTTCAAAATATTCACATTACAGCAGAAAAAATGGGTCCTACTGGAACCGGTTTCGTTTGCTTGTTGGAGCTTTGGCAATGGAAAAACAATGTTTCTAAGTTTATGTGAGCTTGTTACCACTGTAGTTTTGATGCCTGCTTTATTAAAATACTTGATTTAATGCCCTCATAACACCTTTAAATATATTATAAGTGGGACCCACAAACTAATAACCCATTTTTTTAAGGAATTGACGTGTTTTGGACTTTCTAAGGGTTAGTCCATGTTTTAGTCATTCCATCTTTCAACGTCATTCATTTTGATCCTTTTCATTTATTTATTTTTATTATTATTATTTTATTTATTTATTTTTATATTTTACTAACTTTTATTTATCTTTGTTGTATTTTTTTCTCTTATTGTTTTTTTTTCATATTTATTTATTTATTTATTATTTTTTTACAATATAACAATATTTTTTACTTTTAGGGATACTTTTCAACTAATCAAAGGTAAGTAATTTGAATCGAATTTTTTTTTAATTTTAATTTCAAATTTCCGCAATTAAGACAACTGACAAATTAAATGGTACCGAAAGGGCAGTTCAAGGGTGCTAATCCTTCCTTGACTGTAACCGACTTCCGAGCCCGACATATTTATGATAAAACGCAAATCAAGTAAGATGGTGTCCGATCTACCTAAATAATTTTAAAATTCGATGGCGACTCTAACCACATTTTTACAAATTTTTACAAATCGAGTTTTACACCCTCTTACTCAAACCAAATTTTAGGTGCTCATAGTTTCAATTATTTTTATTTCAATTATGAAATGTTTGAATTAAATCTTTTAAAAAATCTAACAATAAATCACTAAATTAATTTAAAATTTTATTATATTTTTAAATAAATATTAAACTACTATTGAGATTAATACAGTTAACTTAATGATATAATTTTATAAAAAATATTTAATAATTTATTTTATAAAATTAAAATACTAACTACAACATAATATATTAATTCTATAAGAATTATAAAATTGAAGTTGAAATCCCATTAACTTCAAATTTCATAGAAAAATTAAAATTTTCATTAAAAACTTCAAACTACAAAAACAAAAAACTTGGAATAAATCAAAAGCGAAAATGGATATTATTCAAATTACGAGCCGAGTGGAATTTTCAACAAACCTCAATTAGTTTATGTTAATATTTAATTTGATATCTTATAAAAATTGAGATCTGAACACTTTAAAAGAAAAAGAAATAATACATTTTTCAAAAATTGTATTTCATTATTTTTAAAATTTTCAAGATCTAATTTTCTCAACGATAATGAGAAAAAAATCAAACCTTGATTTTCATTTTTTTGACAATATATAAACTACCCATAGAATTCCATATGACCTAACAACTCAAGATAAAAATGATTCACCTGTTAGATAAAATTGAACTAGCATATCAATAAAATGCATGACCATAACAAAAGCCGACCAAATTCTTCCTTAATAAAAGCATGCATATCAATAAGCAAAATTCCATAACGTCTACTCAACTCGTCAATTACTCGAATAAAATTCATGGCATGTCTCGGATACAAAACAGCTTATAAAGAACTCATTAAGGCAACAAAATTCTCCCCTGCCATGTCGTACCATTGTTCCAATACCTCAACGATTGGCCTTGGCAACTCTTTCGATTTCGTCCTTCTTCTTGATGGCATAGCTGCACAATACAAGATCATTTTCAGTATCAACCAAAGTGACAAAAGCCACAATCCAGCAGGTGCAATTTGATACATTGAGAGGAACAGTTTACCTGTTAGATGATCCCTTGGCAGCATTAATTAGCTCGTCAGCCAAACATTCAGCAATGGTTTTAATGTTCTGAATGCAGACTCACGAGCACCCGTGGTCAGGAGATAGATAGCCTGATTCACACGGCGAAGGGGAGAGATATCAACAGCCTGTCGCCTGACAACACCGGCAGAACCGATACGTGTAGCATCTTCACGGGGTCCACTGTTACATCAATCAGCATACGACAAAGCTTAGTATAACTTAAACTGATGAAAGATAAAATGCTAAACTTTATGTTATATATACCTGTTGATAACAGCATCAACGATGACTTGAATTGGGTTCTGATCAGTCAAAAGATATATGATTTCCATGGCATGCTTTACAATCCTGGTTGCCATAAGTTTCTTGCCGTTGTTTCGACCATGCATCATGAGTGAGTTTGTAAGCCTTTCAACAATCGGGCACTGAGCCTTTCTGAATCGCTTAACTGAGTACCTCCCAGCAGTGTGAGGAACATAGGTGGCGTGCTTGGAAGCTTGGACACCAATGTAATCACTCAAGGAGATATCAGCAACCTAAAACAGATATATCATCCATGTCAATGATCAATGCCACCAAGTCTTGTAACAATCAAAGGGGACAGCACGATGCAAAGAAAATTTCCCCCAATCAGGAGTCTTAAAGATACTTGGGAAGAATCTAACTATCCAATTCATCAAATATTTCAACTAAAAGTTGAGAAGATCATAGGAAATCAAGACTGTCCCAATGCACTACAATTTAACAGCAAATTCAACAGAAAACTATGAATCAGATCAGAGACAGAGAATGATGAAAAAATCAAATCAATATCACAACTAATGATATGATAGTAGATATGGATTGACAAGTTCAACACAAAACTTACAATCCATTGATAAAAGAAGGAAACCTGAAGCTCTATCAGATAATTTGCATCTCCTAGACGTTAACAATTGTTCAAAATGCAATAAGTTTCCTCCGCTACAACTCTAAAGTTAACCTATATACAAACTACTTCAGAACACCCAAACCATATTTGCAGTTAAACTCATATAGCATTTAATAGAAAAATGAAATAACACAAAATACAAAAATTAGATGGTACATTCCACTTGAAAACTAAAAATACAACAAAAACAGAAGAAACAAAAAAAAATAGACCCAAAATTTTAAATCAAAAAAGGAAGGGAAAAGAAAAACCTGAACTTCCTCGAAGCTCCAGCGGTTGAAGAGCTTGACTTCCAATTGAGCTTGAGCTCCGGCGGGGGCTGCTTCTGCTGTCGCCATACCTACTGTAAGAAGAAACGGTCATTAAGAAAAGGAAAGATAAAGAACATATTTAAAGGAAAAATAACAAAGAGATGGAATTGAAGAAAAAAACCTGCAGTAGACAGAGGGAGGCAAAGAACTAGGCTTTCGCAGGAAGCGGCGTTGAGGAAATGAGAAAACCCTAGTCTTGCACATATATACTCATTTTATGATTAGGGTTTTCTACTCTTGAAGGTTGGGCCTTTTGCTGCGTCATTTTTGGCCTTACTATTACCGAACAATAAAAGGGGCATATACCCAATCAAAATTTTACTTTTCTATTGACTCTGATTTGGAAGCCTTTATAGGCCCAACGCCAATTTCAACCTAAAATATAAGAAGCCACACAAATATTTTTGGGCTAGTTTCAGGTTTTGGGTCACATGATAGGTGAAGGTGAGGGGTAGGACTTGTTGGTAGGTTGATCAGGATTATTATGAACTCTGTTGTGTTAATTCATTGTTGTACATGCTATTCGGTCACTAACAAAACATGTTAGATTATCTTGTATGAGTGAGAGGGAGACATATTAAAATGCTATAGTTCTATTTTGCACTTGGGATTGGAGGAATGTTTATGGAAGTGCTTTTGATCTAAAATTCTGTTTAAAACGTAAAATCAACCTAAATAATTTTCAACTAAAAAATCACGTTTAAAAGTGATTATTATCTCTAATCGAGAAATTGAAAAGACAGTGTTTTGCGTTTGAAAAGTTCGTTTGGAGAAACATTCCAAACAAAATTGTCATGTGATCTAGTGTCACTCCTTGAGCCTTATTCAAAGATGTGATTTGAGATTATACGGACTTTGTATAAAGTCTTTTAATTTTTCTAGGGTTGATTATGGGAAAGGTATACCTG